AAAATAATTGTAATGATTTTTTGTTTCATTCAGGGATGATGAAAATACTTTTAAAATCCTGGTGGCTACTGACATTCACCTTGGATACCTGGAGAAGGATCCAGTTCGTGGAAATGATACGTTTGTAACTTTTGATGAAATTTTGAGACATGCTCAAGAAAATGAAGTAAGTGGTCTTATTGCCGTGTTAAAAATAAAGCACTGAGATTTAGGCCTTGGATGTTTTTCAGAAAATATTACAAAGTGTTCCTTATACCATAACTGAAGGTTGCTAGAGTTCATTGTAGTGGTGAAGTAAATGGGATTTAAGTGCTACGTTGACTTTAAGTGCCATTAAAAATACAACTCGGGTTTCTCAGTTGCTTAAGATATGGACTTGTGAGCAACCTATTAGAGGATAAAAGGCTGTTGGGTGTTACTGCTTGTCAGCTGCTGTGTGGAATTGTCCATGTTTCATAGGTTTCATAGACATTAGGGCTGGAAGGGACCTTGGAAGATTATCGAGTCCAGCCCCCTTATGTCCAGCAGGAAGTCAGGTGGTGTCAAAGGATCCCAGCAAGATAGGCATCCAAATCTTTCTTAAAAGAGTCCAGAGTAGGTGCTTGCACGAACTCTGGAGGGAGTCTGTTCCAGGCCTTGGGGGCTCAGACAGTAAAGAAATTTTTCCTTATGTCAAGCCGGAAACTGTCTCCCCCGCAGGGCCGGGGCACCCGGATGCCTGGGTTTCCTCCGGAAACAGCAGGTTTCCCCTTGCCTTTTAGCCTGCAAAGGGTCCTGCTTGGGGCCTCTGAGAGCGAGACACAGGGGGCCCATGTGCATGTGTGTGGCTGCACACGTGCATGTGGCCAGGAATACAGCCGGACAGTGTGGACTGCAACTCTGTGCAGGTAAGTCTGCGGAGGCGGAAAGGTGTAGTTGGGCAGATCGAGGTCTCCAGAATGAAGGAGTGAGTGGGGCTGGTCTGGGGATGCTGCCCACCCAGGGCGGTGCATGAGATCCAGGGCCAAGGCAGGGAATAGGACGGAGCCATGGACAGCTTGTTTAGGAGGGCATAAAAGGGGCAGTTCCCCACTGCTGTGTGTACCTCCCTAGGGGAGGCATGGTGGGGGGCATGTGCCCACTCATATTTATGCCCAGGGTGGATACCAGCTGCCCACTGTGGACTTGGGGCTCTCCACCCTGCTGCCTTTCCCTCGGGAGCCATGCACTGGCTATGTGCCCCTCGCCCACTTGGCAGCAGTAGGGGCAATGAATTGTGCTTCCTGCTGCCAGGCAGGCAAGGGATGTGGCCGGTGCGTGGTTCCTGGGGCAAAAGCAGCAGGGCAGAGAGCCCTGAGCCCACAGCAGACGGCCCACATCCACCCTTACCCCATTCGGCTTTGCTCCAGCTGTGGCAGGAGGGTGAGGGGAGGTGGGGAGCAGAGGCAGGCGTGTCATCCTACTCTCAGCCCTACCAGGCCCTGCTCTTCCTGGGGCCGGGTCCATTCAGCCTCCTCCATGGGGCACGGCAGCTTGCTCTGCCCCTGGCAGTAGTAGCACCAGGAGGGGAATAGGCCCTTCCTTCTGGAGTCCAGCACCCGGGACCTGGCGCCCAACTGTGGGGGAGGAATGGCCCGGTTTCTTCAGGTCTGGAATAGTCCCGTGGCCCTGACGTGGGCAGAGGGAGGAGACTGGAGAGCCTGGCCCAGATACTACCCAGCTGTGTGCAGCGAGGAAGGCTCACAGCTTCCCCCCCTCAGCAGTTGACCCTTGGCAGTTTTACATGTGTTTCGGGGATGGGAGGAGCGGCACTTTAATTAGAGCAACTGGGAGAGCTGCTCCAATTAAAGTGCCGCAGCGTGTCTCATATCCTCACCCTCACACTTAAAAGTGGTGGTGGCAGTACTTGAACTAAAGCTCATTCAACGAGCTTTAGTTCAAGCACCCCTGCCACCATTTTTAAGCACCAGGACGCTGATACACGTGACACAAGAGGCTGCTGAAACATGCCCAAAAAAGGGTTTGTGTTAGTAGTTTAAAATGCCTTGCATTATTACTAAATATCAGTTATCGGATTGGCTATCTGTATTGGCTGAGAGAATTTTTTTATCGGTGCACCCCTAGTTATGGAGGGATGTGCTGAGTCAAAAAAAGTTTGAGAACCACTGCTTTATGGTAAGTTGTTCATATGTCCATACCCTTAGGCACTTTTGAAAATGTTATCTCTATTTTTAGGGGTCTTGTTTCCCAAATATTTAGATGGATTCTTTGTCATCCTGGTAAAGATGGTTTTGTTGAATGAATGTTTATCTAACTCAAAATTCTTTGGCATCCTCATTAAATGTGTGCAAATTAAATGTTTATGATTTAGCTACAGTAAAAATTCTGGACTTTTCTTTGTAAAATACTTTAATTCAGTTAAAAATTTAGTGTGTTATTCTTGTAAAAGCTAGTTGGCATCTTATTAGTTTGTTTTAACTGGTGTACCCTTTTGTAATTTTCATTTTTCCCCTTAAATAAAACTTTTATATTGTTATGGAGAATAATTTTTAAATTGCGAAGTGTAAGCATAGACATTTGAGGCTTACTGGTTTTATAATTTATACATAAGGCATTTATATAGAATCCCAGATAAACTCCATGCATGCACTTCTTCATAAAACTAGTAATTTTACAAGACCTTGGGGAATTAGTATTAAGTATTAGTATTAAGATTTTACAAAATACCATTTGAACATAACCCAAATTTTGGTACTTGTACAGGTGGACTTTATTTTATTAGGTGGGGATCTCTTTCATGAAAACAAACCCTCAAGAAAAACGCTACATACTACCTTTGAGATATTAAGAAAATACTGTATGGGAGATCGTCCTGTGCAGTTCGAAATTGTGAGTGACCAGTCAGTCAATTTTAGTTTTAGCAAGTAAGTATATTTACTACAAATGTTGAAATAACTGTTTTTTCAATTAACTAATTTGTTATTGTGAGCTTTGATTCCACAAGCTGCTTTGTGGATGGACTCTCCTATTTTCAAAAAAGGGAGGAAGGAGGAACCAGGAAACTATAGACCTGTTAGTCTTACCTTGGTCCTGGGGAAGCTCTTTGAGAGAATTATCCAGGAGCACACGTGCGAGGGACGAGCAGGGGAGAGGGGCAACCAACATGGGTTCGTTAGAGGCAGGTCCTGTCAGACCAACCTGATGGCCTTTTACAACCAGGTCACAAAATCCTTGGACACAGGTGTCACGGTGGACATAGTCTTTCTGGACTTTAGGAAGGCCTTCGACACTGTCTCTCACTCCATCCTCATTTGCAAAATTAGGCAACTGTGGTGTCGATGCCTACACAGTCAGATGGGCCACAAATTGGCTGGAGGGCTGCACTCAGAGAGTGGTGGTGTATGGGTCATTTTCGACTTGGAGGGATGTGGACAGTGGTTCCCCAGGGCTCGGTCCTTGGGCCCGCACTGTTCAACATCTTCATCAGCGACTTGGATGAGGGTGTGAAAAATACCTTGTTCAAATTTGCGGATGACACTAAGATGTGGGGAGAACTGGGCATGGTAGAGGAGAGGGACAGGCTGCAACTAGATTTGGACAGGTTCCAGGGTTTGGCGGATGAGAACAGGATGGGTTTCAACGCTGACAAGTGCAAGGTATTGCACCTGGGGAGGAAGAACCAGCAGCATACCTACAGGCTGGGGGACTCCCTTCTCATCAGTGCAGAGGCAGAAAAGGATCTTGGAGTCATTATCTATTCCAACATGAACATGGGCCACCAATGTGAGGACGCAGTCAGTAAGGCCAACCGCACTTTGTCATGCATCCATAGATGCATCATGAGCAGGTCCAAGGAGGTGATCCTCCCTCTCTGTGCAACATTTGTCAGGCTGCAGTTGGAGTACTGTGTCCAGTTCTGGGCGCCGCACTTCAGGAGGGATGTGGACAACATGAAGAGGGTCCAGAGGAGGGCTGCTCTCATGATCGGGGGCAGCAAGGCAAGCCTTACGAGGGGAGGCTTCGGGACCTGAACCTGTTCAACCTTCACAAGAGAAGGCTGAGAGGGGATCTGGTGGCTATATCTATAAACTGGCCAAGGGGGACCAGCAGGCAGTGGGAGAGTCCCTGCTCCCCCGAGCACTACTGGGAGTAACAAGGAATAATGGCTATAAGTTGACTGAGAGTAGATTCAGGCTAGACATCAGGAGGTACTACTTCACAGTCAGGATGGTTAGGATCTGGAACCAATTTCCAAGGGAAGTGGTGCTTGCTGCTACCCTGTGGGGCTTCAAAAGGAGGCTAGATAATCACTGAGCCGGGGTCATTTGACCCCAGCATTTTTTCCTGCCCATGGCAGGGTGTCGGACTTGGTGATCTGCTTAGGTCCCTTCCAACCCTACCAACTGAAACTGAAATCTCTGGGTCTTCCTGCCATCTCAGAGGTTTACTTTTGTGGAGCAGCTTGTAGGATTGAGTTCTCTCTCTGAGAACTTCAGTTTCTTTAAATAATCTTATGATCTATACCATGAACAAAGTATGATTATGTGTGTGTGTGGGGGGGGGGTTGTAATTTTTAAGCATAATGCATAGTGAAAATCAGATAATTGTGTTTTTTCCAGTCTAGACTAATTCCAGAGCCCTGCCTTTCTCCTCAGCATTTCCTACTGGTTAGGTTAGACAGTGCCCATCATGTCTTCTGCAAATCCTGTTCTATAGGCCCTTTGGGTACCTATCCATGAGCCCAAAGGGCTGTTTCGATGCATTAATCAAGTCTGCTGAAGCGTGCTAATTACTGCACTTTGGGAAGCACTGGGCCACTCAGGCTGTCACCCTGGGTCCTGGTATCGCATGCAGGGACCATGCATTGGGCTGTGCCAGGTCCTATCTCCATGCAACTGGCCCAGCCTGGCCTGATGGCGCATGGGGCCCTTGTGGGGGGGCGGGCTGCGTGCCCTGCTGGAACAGGGGGACCCACCCCTCCTGAGCAGTCCCCCTCCCCCCACACAAAACCCCCCAAACACACACCCAAGAATCCCACATGAACCC